GGTTCCTCTTACTGAGTGCCAAACCTAGCTCTGAGCTTCCTAGCGGCCACGGCAAAAAAGGGAAGAGTTGGAACCCAAATCTTGACACACACACCCTAGTCCGGTGTTGCGTTCCTTGCCTGCTGCCCAGTCACTGGCTACTTAGTGAAGGCCCAGGGTGTGCCACGCTCTGCCAGGGGCTAAGCCGCCTGGGGTGGGCCTGGCTGCAGTCCTTCTCTCCCACCCAGGATTGCTGGAGATGAAGCGCCTAGAATACATCCATCACAACCAGACGGTGCCCCAGCAGATCGGGGACAGCGTGTACTACGCGGCGCCCCTGTCCATCTGGTGGCAGACCCCCCAGTACCTGCTCATCGGCATCAGTGAGATGTTTGCCAGCATCCCAGGTACCCCGCGCCCCTCCCCCGCGCTCACTCGCACCCGGTAACGGGCGCAGCCTGGTGGTGCCTCCCGGTCAGAGGTCTCACAGCACAGCCTCTAGAGCCCACCTGCGTGGAGGAGGCGGGACCGGTTGTGGGGCTGCGTGCACCCAGTGGGGGTTCATCAGCACCTGGCCATGACGGGCACAAGGGGCTCGGGGGTTTGGGGGTGACTAAGACACTTCCCATTCGGGCTTTCCACACGTCTCCCCACTGCCACGTCCCCAGCAGCTGTTCCCTCAGATTGAAAATGAACTCCAGTTTCCCGTTCAATTCTGGGCCTCAGTGCCGTCTCCCTCACGAGGTCCCCAATGCCCCGCCCGAAGCACAGGGCCCTCCCCTCCTCACCACCTGTCCAGCACACAGGTCACGCTGCTGTAATAACGCAATTGTGTGTCTGCACCGGGCTGGGCTGTGAGCTGAGAGCGCTGAGGGCTGGGCAGGCTCTCCGAGGAGCCCAGGAACAGGGCCCACTCAGCGGCAGGCGCAGGGGGAGGCGGGTGGGACTCCCCGTGGGATGGGAAGGGGGGGATCAGTCTCCTGAACAGCAAGCCGGGGGAGTGCTGTGGAAGTGACCTGGGGTGTCGGGGAGCCCGGGGCCAGGTGGAGAGGGGACGGAACTCAGCGGTGGCAGCAGGGACCTCACAGGCTGGGTCTTGCAGGGAGCGGGGGAGGCTGCAGGCGCAGGTCCTTGTGGGTAGAGCCTGGATGTTGAGGTCTCACCCCCCCGAAGGACGACAACCCCACCCGAGGCACCTGGGCAGGGAGGACCCCATAGAGAGGTCCCCAACATCTGGCCGTGGGGAGGACGGAGGCGGGAGTTTCGGAGGCATTTGCAGAGGCTGGGCCAGAAGTGAGCACTGGGGTTTGGCCCAGGGCAGAGGGGACCCAGAGGGGGGCAGAATGAAGAGAGGTTCTGAGGCTCAATCCAATGACTTGGTGATGACACTGAAGGTGAGCAGAGGACAGGGGACAGAGGCTGCAGACGGCAGGGAGGTGAGGGAGGGGACCCAGAATCCTGGGACCATGTGGGGGTGTCCACGGGGTGGATGACAGGGCAGAGGGGACAGGCACGGGCATTATCATGGCCCCGGAGCAGTCAGGCATCGAGGGAAAGCCAGGGTGTGGCTGGCCGGGGCAGGGGCGGCCCGTGGGCAGGGGCCTGGCCACCTGGCTCATCCCTCCCTCCTCCCTCCTCCGCAGGCCTGGAGTTCGCGTACTCGGAGGCCCCACGCTCCATGCAGGGCGCCATCATGGGCATCTTCTTCTCCCTGTCGGGGGTGGGCTCACTGCTGGGCTCCAGCCTGGTGGCTCTGCTGTCCCTGCCCAGGGGCTGGCTACACTGCCCCGAGGACCAGGCTGAG